GCCCCCATTGCGTATTGCTGCTTATTGAGTACTTTTAGAGGTTTTCCTAAATTTGTCCTTGTCAACGAACAATTCGAAATACCTCGACTCTTTTAGAACAAGTCCGAATCAAATAGCAATGATTCAAAGCACACGCATGAGCTTCCATAATGGGCTCACGCAAGAGAGCCCATTATGGAAGCTGAGGCTTCCTGATGCTTTCCATGTGTGCGCATGGGAGCGCTCATGGCATTTCGGGGCAAAAATTTTCTGCCCCATTTTTGTAATTGTAGGACATTTTGGGGGCCTTTGGGGATTTTTGGAGCACGGTTTTAGGGCATTTAAATAGCCCTTTTCTCACATTCATTGCCCCATTCTTCATTCACTCTTCAAATCACACTCATTTTGGAGGAAAAAGGGGGCAAGAACTAGAGCACAAGGGGATAGAAAAAATAAGAAAGTGAGTGATTTTAGAGAAAAATCAATACCAAGCCATTGCTACCTTCAAAAATCCAACCAAAAGACATTTTTTATCTTTAGTCTTGTATTTCAATCATTATTTTCTTCAATTTGCAAGTATTTCTATAAATCTTTTCATTTTTATAATTTATACAAAATGAGCTAAGTTGTTTGTGTTAGGATTTATGATGTAGCTTAACCTACCTTTATTAATTTCAATATTTGCTCTTTAATCTTAAAGTACTTATTTTTGTGTGTATTTATTATTGTATTTTACATTATTCATTTATTTGGCTAATAAATGATTGTGTTGAGTGGTTTGTGCCATTTTTTAGAAAATATTGTGTATTTTAGATCAAGTAGTAAATATCCTAGGTTCTTGTAAAAGATAGAAATACACTCATAACCCTAAGTTACCCATTGAGCAATTTTCACAAAGAGTTAATGCAATTGTTTAGGCTTTAATCGACATAGAGATATAGTATGTTAAACAAATTGATTAGGCTAATTTCGTTCAACAAAGGTAATTAGTTAAAATAGAAAAATTTGTTCTAAGATATTTAATGAGTAATTTGTTAATTCATGTGTGGAGTAATTAATTAGGCTACGGTTAAGTGAAATTATGAACCCCAACTACTTCCGTAAATTTTAGATTTATTCTTTTCGTAAAGTTTTTAGTTATTTTACTATTTTTAAAATCTAAACCTTATTTTGTGCTATATTGTTAAAATTAAATTAACTATTGTGTAATTAAGTAAACATTCCTTGAATGATCGACTTGAACTCATAATCCAATTTATTATTTGAAACCGACCCATGCACTTGCGGTGTATAATTTTAGCGAACACTTCGCATACACCCATATGCTTGTAATGCTTGAAGTTCGATCAAAACACATTGCTACGCATTACGACTTATAGAACCTTGTGTGTGTGGTATTCTATTAATTATGTAGATACTCTGTGTAAGGAGAATAGACACTAATATCTTGTTCTGAAAGGTGAACTCTACTACTAAATAGGCTCTCTCGTGTTTACAAGTTCACTTATATGCCACCCCGTACATGCCCAAGATTAAGAGGAAAAAAAACCAAAAATTGTCCGATCCTGGACAAAATCATGTTAAACATACGTTCATGTAGTATTTCTCTTGATGCTTGTCTAAGAACCTAAATAAATAATGTAGTTTTCTCATGATCCTTGTCTAAGAACCTAAATAATTGCCTCCATGCAATGTATTCATTTTGTGGGCATGAGCATGTGTCACACGTCCATGCAAAATTGTGTCTTGTACCCCTGGACAAGATGCGCTAGTTAGGGGTGAAAACGGTTCTGTTTGGACGGTTTGCAATAAACTTTCAAACCAAACTACTTAAAACGATTTGAAAATTTTCCAAATCAAACCAAACAATTTCAATTTCTAAACCAAACCAATCCAATCCAAACCATTTTCTTCGGTTTGGTTTGATTTAAAACCACGATTTAACAAAAAAAAAAAGATATATTCTTAAAATTTCACATTAAAACAGAAATAGTATCATTAAAAATATATTACAAACCAAAGTTCTATAATTCTAATCATTATAATGCAACAATATGCTAAAAACATTTTAATCTCTTAATCGATACTAATTGACACAACATCTGCAATTGTGGGGGTGTTTGACACCCATTTTTGTATAAAAATGTGTTTTTGAATAGTGATTGATAGAAGAATGTGTGGTTAAAAAGTAAGGAGAATTTTTAGGTTTATGTGTAATATTATTTTATTGATAAAATATGTGGTTAAAATGAAGAAATAGAAAAATAATGAGAATGAGAAAAAAATGGGTGCCAAACGGAGGCGTAATACATAATCCATTCCTTCCCTAAAGATTAGAATATTGTACATGAATTCATTGATTATAGTTAAACGAGATAAAATAACTAATAAAAGAAAGTGAATAGAAAGATAAAATACAATAATATCTTCTGTATTTTTTTGTAAATCATCCAATACATCTACCTCATCCAAAAATTGATGAATTACTATACATTCCTTATTACTATGCAACCAATTTTTAAGGAAAAACATCATATCAACCATATTTGCACTCAATGAACTCCTAAAAGAATTAAAAATCCAATTACTAATAGGGAATGAAAACTCAGAAACAATTGTAGATATTTGAATAATTAACAAGTCTTTAGTAATTTGGAGAACAATCTTTTATTTATTTGCATTGAATTTTCACTAAAGTAATATGTCGAAAGACTCATTCAAATCTTCAAAATGACCATTTAAATAATTCACTAAATCAATCTAACAATTAACAGCTAAATGTAAAAACTAAGTTAAAATGTAAATAATAAATTGAGCGGCCTGACTAAAAAATTAAGACGCGAATAAATAAAAATTGTTGTCCGTTAAAAATACAAGGGAGACCAGCACAAATTAGAACAAAAAAAAAAAACACAATTACCAATTAAATATAACAAACGATTACCAAATAATAAGAAAATAGAATAATCTAACCTGAAAATTTAGCCAAAATTCGAGAAAATTATTAGTAGAAAGAAAAGAAATGTATGAGTTTGAATTAAAATCTAGATTTAATTGTCTACACAATTGTACTGAACGATCAATGAATATGGTTCAACAACAATTTTTTAACACTTCACACAATTTGAGAGTTTTGCATTCACGGTTGTGATGACTAATGGGTATTTGAGTATAAATTAATTAATTAACTGTGATGAATAATTGTTTATTTAGGTATTGAGTTTGATTGGGTTATGTCTAATATGATTGTATCTTTTTAACTGAGATGTGTTTATTTTTAATTGGATTCGATTAAATTTACATTAATTTATTTCAATTTTTTTTAAACGGTTTGGTGGTTTGAAATAGTTTGCAGAGATTGAAACATAAACCAACCACTTCAAAACAGTTTACTTCGATTCAAAACCAAAACATTGACAGATCCACATAGCTCCAAACCAACGGTTAAGGTTTGACGATTTCATTGTTCAACCCTACTAGATATTACATGCGTGTGACATTCACATTTCAATGCACATATAGATAGCCGCAAACTTATTTGATAAGGAATACTTGTCAGTATCCCCGTACATTCTAATCCTCTAGAGTACTAATCCTCTCTAGTACTGTACATAATGCTAGACATTGTAATCTATATCAGGGAAGTTTATGCATCTAAATTGAAGGGAATTTGCCCAGTAACCTTTTTTGCGTAAATAGATGTTCAGAACCAACAAACTAAACCACACCGACTGGTTCAGAATCTCTACGAATGTTCTTGAATTTGTTCGAGATGTGAGTGAAACTCAAATTGGGAACACTCATGAAAAATTCTAAAGAACTTACATAAACAATGAGGGTGATCCCGAATTTAGAGTATCTTGCTTTCATGTTAGTATCAAGGACAATTCCATTTGTACTAAAAATGTTAACACCCTCTCACATGTGCACGGGGCCCGCATAAATAAAAAAAATCCCAAATGGGTGGTCCCCACACCCTATTGTGAGTGTAGGTAAAAGATTAGATAAAAAAGTGGATGTACATGTAGCATTGTACATCTACTTTCATGTTAGTATCTTGCTTTCACTTAATATCAATCTATCTTTCACTTAATCATAGAGTATCTTGCTTTCATGTTAGTATCAATCATTCCCTTAATCACAAGCTGTTGTGAAATTTTGTGTATGCGTGAGTGCGCATATATAAATAACCATGACATAGTTTACACGCAGGATGAAAAATCGAAAGCCGTGAGGAAGCAAGACGATCAAATAAATAGAGATGCAATTTAATACACAAATTTTAACATCAGTAATAACTCAATACATAAAAATCTAATCCATATAAACACACATACACAATCATTCTGAACAGTAATTGCTCTCAAGAAAGAGCTGCAGTTAACACTAACATGAGGGACAAGGATTCATTGGAGTTACTCATCTTCGCCTGCTCCATTACACGACAGATTCTTCCCCAGCCTCTGTTATTGAATAAAATTTATATGACTTCGTAAGACTTAAAACAAATAAGTTCAATAATTTGGGTTAACAGAGAGATTATACC